TTGGTTACGTGACCCAGGTCGTTCTGACGCAGGTGTTAGTCATGTTATGACTTACTCAGTGGAGCCCTTGGTTACGTGACCCAGGTCGTCCTGACGCAGGTGTTAGTCATGTTATGACTTATTCAGTGGAGCCCTTGGTTACGTGACCCAGGTCGTTCTGACGCAGGTGTTAGTCATGTTATGACTTACTCAGTGGAGCCCTTGGTCACGTGACCCAGGTCGTTCTGACGCAGGTGTTAGTCATGTTATGACTTACTCAGTGGAGCCCTTGGTTACGTGACCCAGGTCGTCATGACGCAGGTGTTAGTCATGTTATGACTTACTCAGTGGAGCCCTTGGTTACGTGACCCAGGTCGTCATGACGCAGGTGTTAGTCATGTTATGGCTTATTCAGTGGAGCCCTTGGTCACGTGACCCAGGTCGTCCTGACGCAGGTGTTAGTCATGTTATGACTTATTCAGTGGAGCCCTTGGTCACGTGACCCAGGTCGTCCTGACGCAGGTGTTAGTCATGTTATGACTTATTCAGTGGAGCCCTTGGTCACGTGACCCAGGTCGTCCTGACGCAGGTGTTAGTCATGTTATGACTTACTCAGTGGAGCCCTTGGTTACGTGACCCAGGTCGTCCTGACGCAGGTGTTAGTCATGTTATGACTTACTCAGTGGAGCCCTTGGTCACGTGACCCAGGTCGTCCTGACCCAGGTGTTAGTCATGTTATGACTTATTCAGTGGAGCCCTTGGTCACGTGACCCAGGTCGTCCTGACGCAGGTGTTAGTCATGTTATGACTTACTCAGTGGAGCCCTTGGTCACGTGACCCAGGTCGTCCTGACGCAGGTGTTAGTCATGTTATGACTTACTCAGTGGAGCCCTTGGTCACGTGACCAGGTCGTCCTGACGCAGGTGTTAGTCATGTTATGACTTACTCAGTGGAGCCCTTGGTCACGTGACCCAGGTCGTCCTGACGCAGGTGTTAGTCATGTTATGGCTTACTCAGTGGAGCCCTTGGTCACGTGACCCAGGTCGTCCTGACGCAGGTGTTAGTCATGTTATGACTTACTCAGTGGAGCCCTTGGTCACGTGACCCAGGTCGTCCTGACGCAGGTGTTAGTCATATGATAAACCGCTCAGGGATCAAGTGCCTGAATTCATTTTGTGTGTAACAAACGCACTTTAGCACAGTTACCCTTTAGCAGTGATGACATTGATTTACCTAATTTTAATACAAATGACCCATTGCCATATATTGATGATTATAATTGTTTTATGAAAACAAGCCTTCACTTTATTCATGTCAACGCAAGATCACTTTTTCCAAAATTGGCAGAAATTAGGATTCTAGCTAATAGAACTTGGGCGGCAGTTATATCCATCTCTGAATCCTGGTTGGATGATACTGTGACTGACGACGAGGTCAAAATAGAAGGTTACAATATAAAACGCTTAGATAGAAACAGAAAGGATGGTGGGGTATGTGACTACATAAGAAATGATTTAGCTTTCAACCCAAGACCTGATTTAAATAACAATAAACTGGAGATTTTATGGTTTGAAGTGCTGCTTCCCAAGACTAAACTCATCTTAGTAGGAACTAGTTACCGACCTCCTACCCAGGACCAGTTCTTAGAAGACTTTTCCAGAGTATTGTCCGAACATGAAAACAATTGCGAGACAATAATACTGGGAGACTTCAATATCTGTTTTCAGCAGCAAAATAACGGATAATGACGCCTGACTGACTAATGTTCTCTGAGCGGTTACAAAGTATGTGGTCAATTAGTACACCAACCTGGATCAATTAGTACACCAACCTGGATCACACAGTTCTCAGTCACCCTAATTGACCACATACTTTGTAACTGCTCAGAGAACATTAGTCAGTCAGGCGTCATTGCACCAGGAAAATCACTAGGGATAGGATAGGCCTACACAGGACAATAAAAATGAGGTCAACTAGAAACTGCAGTAAAGAAACACTGGTAAATAAGCTACACAATTGTGACTGGACAGAGATGACAAGTTGCACGGACGTAAACGATGTCTGGGAAAAATTCAAAACAATGTTCACTACCATCCTTGATAATATTGTACCAGTTAAAGAGGTTAGGATTAAACGAAGAACTGAACCCTGGATGACTACTGAGATATTAGATAATATGAAATTCAGAGACCAGCTGCTAAAAAGATTTAAGACAAATAGACAGGATATTGCAGCACTAAATGAATTCCAAAAGGTGAGGAACAGAGTGCAGAGACTTACATAAGGAGCAAAGGCAAAGCACTATCGCTCAAAAATTAAAGATTACAAGAATAACCCCAGAAAGCTCTGGCAACAACTAAAACAGTTGGGGTATAGCCATAAGCCAGTAGATAGGTCTAACATAGTACTCACTATCGATAATGAGGTATGCCACGAAACATCTAAGGTGGCAAATTGCTTTAACTCATACTACACATCTGTTGCATCAACACTAGTAAGTAAACTACCAGCTGCATCAAATACCTTTAACACAGACTCTGATAAGTTTCAAACATACTATACCAATAAAGGGGTAACCCCAAACAGTTGTCAACTAGTAAGTGTTTCTCATGACTTTATTCAAAAAGAACTAAGCAGGTTAAACCCAACTAAGAGCACTGGCCCGGATAACATCCCGTCTAAGTTCCTAAAAGATGGTGCTTCTGAACTGTCAGTCCCTATTGCTCACATAATAAATTTGTCCATCACCACTAATACCGTACCAGAGGGGTTCAAGGAGGCCAGAGTTACTCCTGTCTTCAAGAAAAATAGTAGGTCTGATGTAAGCAACTATAGGCCTGTTAGTATACTCAGTATAATATTAAAAATTCTAGAGAGAGCGGTGTACTGTCAAGTAGTTAAGTACCTTAATGACAACAATATTCTCCATAGCTATCAATCGGGCTTTAGAAGATCTTACTCAACCGACACCTCCCTAATTAATCTGATGGATTACCTGAGAACTGAAATGTCAATAGGGAACCTCATAGGTATGGTAACCTTAGACCTGCAAAAGGCCTTCGATACAGTCAACCAAAATATATTATGTACGAAACTTCAAGCTATCGTTATAGGTTCTGTAGACTGGTTTGAGTCCTACCTTAGCAACAGGAGACAAATTGTCAAAATCAACAAAATGGAATCAGAACCCCTTCCGATAGCATGTGGAGTTCCCCAAGGTAGTATTCTGGGTCCCTTATTATTCTTATTCTATGTCAATGACATGCCTGTCAGTGTCAAGTGCAAACTCCTACTGTATGCAGATGACAGTGCTCTGTTAGTGTCAGGTAAAGACCCAGGCCCGGTGGCCTGGTGGCTAAAGCTCCCGCTTCACACACGGAGGGCCCGGGTTCGATTCCCAGCGGGTGGAAACATTTCGACACGTTTCCTTACACCTATTGTCCTGTTCACCTAGCAGCAAATAGGTACCTGGGTGTTAGTCGACTGGTGTGGGTCGCATCCTGGGGGACAAGATTGAGGACCCCAATGGAAATAAGCTAGACAGTCCTCGATGACGCACTGACTTTCTTGGGTTATCCTGGGTGGCTAACCCTCTGGGGTTAAAAATCCGAACGAAATCTTATCTTAACACTGGAACTGGAGTCCTGCAGCAAATGGTTAGTAGACAACAAACTATCATTACACCTCGGGAAAACTGAAGCCATTCTCTTTGGCACAAATCAAACTGAGAAGGGTAAATAATTTTAGTGTCCAGTGTAATTTGGAGCCCATCACTTTGGTTTCATCAGTAAAATATCTGGGAATCCCCTTTGACGCAAGCATATCAGGAGAATTGATAGGGAACAGTGTAGTAGAGAAAGCGAATGCCAGACTGAAGTTCCTCTATAGACAAGCAGTGTCTACCTACTGAGGCTCGCAGGACCCTATGTCTAGCCCTTATACAGTGTTATATGGATTACGCTTGCTCTTCATGGTACTCTGCCTTGACAAAAAAACTGAAAGATAGACTGCAAATCACCCTGGGCCTGGGTTCAAGAAAGCATGTAGGCCAGAATGAATTGCAGCAGTTGGATATGCTGAATGTTGAAGACAGAGTAAAACAACTGAAGCTAAATCATGTTTATAAAATTGCTCACAAACAATGTCCAGAATATTTTGCTGTCAATTTTGTCAAGGTTGGGAACCAAAGCAATCATAGTACTAGGGGGAGAGAGCACAACTTTGTAGTACCCACAGTCATTGGCCAGGCTTCAAACACCTTTTATTGTACAGCAATAAAGGAATGGAACAGACTGCCCGCACATGTCAAAGCCAGTCATAGCATGAACCAGTTCAAGAAGAGTGCCAAAAGGTGTCTGATGAATGTAGCTACAGAAAGGGAGGGGAATGATTTTTTACTTTTTAGCTAACATACGTGTAAATTTTACCTTATTCCTAGTAATGACCCTCGTACTGTAGATAGTCTTAATGACCTTGGTGTAGTAGATAGTCTTTTTAGTATGATAATAAGATGTTATCTTCATTGTAGAATAATAAGAAAATATTATAACCTTTATATTATAATAATAAGGTAAAAGGACCCCAATGGAAATAAGTCACTCTGTCTGACTTTTTTGGGTTATCCCAGGTTCTCTACACATATGCTGCTATGTATGATAATTCTATGTAACTGTATTTGTGTATACCTGAATAAACTTGCTTACTTACTTACTGCTATGCAGCTCAGCACTTATCATTGCTGAGGCAATGACCATTTCAGTATCTTCAATACTGAGGGACTGATCACCTCACATTTACCTTCCCTCGGTTTCTGCTGTCCTCGTAATTAAGTAACTTCACTGTTGAACTGAGTAAGTCTGCTGAGCAGAAGAAACGTTTCGGCAGTAATAATACAAAATTGTTGCACATAAGAATGGAGGAACACTGCTGAAGGCCTACTGCCCAAAACTACCCATGAAATTACCCTGTACCCATGTTTAATATGCATTCTAGCAGTTAGTTCTCATTCTGTTCACTTTCAGTTAGTTGGGTGTCGAGTAGCTTGTGATTTCTACATGGACAGAGGAGCAAATCACAGGGAGGAGTCGCAACACCTCAACCCACCATTCCTCCGACTTCCTGCCCACCTCCCCGCCCCTCACGTTAGTGAGACGGGACAGGTGACCTGGGGGGGCCTTCAGTGGACCAGAGGTTCCGCCCCAGCCTCCCAGAATGTTGTCGTGTACCTGTTAATGGTTCACGGGGATAGAGGATGGAGGGAACTAACGCAGGTATCATCAATGGTGTCTTCTCTCTATATTTTTCAAGGATTATCTATCTCAATTACGCAAATTTCATATGAAAACCTTAATTATTTTTATAGTGCAGATGTAATCTTCTTTAGTAATAGCAAGAACAACTGTAATAATTATTATTAATATTAATAACATTTGTCATTATTCTTATGATAATAAAATCAATAATAATAAAAACAATAATAAAAACAACGATAATAATAATAATAATAATAATAATAATAATAATAATAATAATAATAATGCAGACTTATACTCACACATTACTACAATAATGTACCATTACAGTCGCAACATTATAGTTGATGTAACATTGGTCATGAGACCGAACAAGTGTCTACTGACGCGGGTCTGAGTCACATAGATGACTCGTCTGTGGATGTAACTTTGTAGTAAAGGACAAGTAAACAAACAGTTTATTGTGGATATGTTTCGGTTCTTGAATTTTGTTCACTCCTACATTTATGTGGTATGATAAACATTGGTTTATGTAGGTCAAGATAGATGCTAGGTTAGCTGAACGGGAGTGATGTTAGCTGAACTGTAGTGATGTTAGCTGAACTGTAGTGAGGTTAGCTGAACGGTAGTGATGTTAGCTGAACTGTAGTGAGGTTAGCTGAACTGTAGTGAGGTTAGCTGAACTGTAGTGATGTTAGCTGAACTGTAGTGATGTTAGCTGAACTGTAGTGATGTTAGCTGAACTGTAGTGATGTTAGCTGAACTGTAGTGAGGTTAGCTGAACTGTAGTGATGTTAGCTGAACGGTAGTGATGTTAGCTGAGCTGTAGTGATGTTAGCTGAACTGTAGTGATGTTAGCTGAACTGTAGTGAGGTTAGCTGAACTGTAGTGATGTTAGCTGAACGGTAGTGATGTTAGCTGAACTGTAGTGAGGTAAGCTGAACTGTAGTGATGTTATCTGAGCTGTAGTGATGTTATCTGAGCTGTAGTGATGTTAGCTGAACTGTAGTGATGTTAGCTGAACTGTAGTGATGTTAGCTGAACGGTAGTGATGTTAGCTGAGCTGTAGTGATGTTAGCTGAACTGTAGTGATGTTAGCTGAACTGTAGTGATGTTAGCTGAACTGTAGTGATGTTAGCTGAGCTGTAGTGATGTTAGCTGAGCTGTAGTGATGTTAGCTGAACGGTAGTGATGTTAGCTGAACTGTAGTGATGTTAGCTGAACGGTAGTGATGTTAGCTGAACTGTAGTGATGTTAGCTGAACGGTAGTGATGTTAGCTGAGCTGTAGTGATGTTAGCTGAACGGTAGTGATGTTAGCTGAACTGTAGTGATGTTAGCTGAACGGTAGTGATGTTAGCTGAGCTGTAGTGATGTTAGCTGAACTGTAGTGATGTTAGCTGAACTGTAGTGATGTTAGCTGAACTGTAGTGATGTTAGCTGAACTGTAGTGAGGTTAGCTGAACTGTAGTGATGTTAGCTGAACTGTAGTGATGTTAGCTGAACTGTAGTGATGTTAGCTGAACTGTAGTGATGTTAGCAGAACTGTAGTGATGTTAGCTGAACTGTAGTGAGGTTAGCTGAACTGTAGTGATGTTAGCTGAACTGTTTACCTGGAGAGAGCTCCGGGGGTCAACGCCCCCGCGGCCCGGCCTGAGACCAGGCCTCCTGGTGGATCAGAGCCTGATCAACCAGGCTGTTGCTGCTGGCTGCACGCAAACCAACGTACGAGCCACAGCCCGGCTGATCCGGAACTGACTTTAGGTGCTTGTCCAGTGCCAGCTTGAAGACTGCCAGGGGTCTGTTGGCAATCCCCCTTATGTGTGCTGGGAGGCAGTTGAACAGTCTCGGGCCCCTGACACTTATTGTATGGTCTCTTAACGTGCTAGTGACACCCCTGCTTTTCATTGGGGGGATGGTGCATCGTCTGCCAAGTCTTTTGCTTTCGTAGTGAGTGATTTTCGTGTGCAAGTTCGGTACTAGTCCCTCTAGGATTTTCCAGGTGTATATAATCTGTATCTTTCCCTCCTGCGTTCCAGGGAATACAGGTTTAGGAACCTCAAGCGCTCCCAATAATTGAGGTGTTTTTATCCCGTTATGCGCGCCGTTGAAAGTTCTCTGTACATTTTCTAGGTCGGCAAATTTCACCTGCCTTGAAAGGTGCTGTTAGTGTGCAGCAATATTCCAGCCTAGATAGAACAAGTGACCTGAAGAGTGTCATCATGGGCTTGGCCTCCCTAGTTTTGAAGGTTCTCATTATCCATCCTGTCATTTTTCTAGCAGATGCGATGATACAATGTTATGGTCCTTGAAGGTGAGATCCTCCGACATGATCACTCCCAGGTCTTTGACGTTGGTGTTTCGCTCTATTTTGTGGCCAGAATTTGTTTTGTACTCTGATGAAGATTTAATTTCCTCATGTTTACCATATCTGAGTAATTGAAATTTCTCATCGTTGAACTTCATATTGTTTTCTGCAGCCCACTGAAAAGTTGGTTTGATGTCTGCCTGGAGCTTTGCAGTGTCTGCAATGGAAGACACTGTCATGCAGATTCGGGTGTCATCTGCAAAGGAAGACACGGTGCTGTGGCTGACATCCTTGTCTATGTCGGATATAAGGATGAGGAACAAGATGGGAGCGAGTACTGTGCCTTGTGGAACAGAGCTTTCACCGTAGCTGCCTCGGACTTTACTCTGTTGACGACTACTCTCTGTGTTCTGTTAGTGAGGAAATTATAGATCCATCGACCGACTTTTCCTGTTATTCCTTTAGCACGCATTTTGTGCGCTATTACGCCATGGTCACACTTGTCGAAGGCTTTTGCAAAGTCTGTATATATTACATCTGCATTCTTTTTGTCTTCTAGTGCATTTAGGACCTTGTCGTAGTGGTCCAATAGTTGAGACAGACAGGAGCGACCTGTTCTAAACCCATGTTGCCCTGGGTTGTGTAACTGATGGGTTTCTAGATGCGTGGTGATCTTGCTTCTTAGGACCCTTTCAAAGATTTTTATGATATGGGATGTTAGTGCTATTGGTCTGTAGTTCTTTGCTGTTGCTTTACTGCCCCCTTTGTGGAGTGGGGCTATGTCTGTTGTTTTTAGTAACTGTGGGACGACCCCCGTGTCCATGCTCCCTCTCCATAGGATGGAAAAGGCTCGTGATAGGGGCTTCTTGCAGTTCTTGATGAACACAGAGTTCCATGAGTCTGGCCCTGGGGCAGAGTGCATGGGCATGTCATTTATCGCCTGTTCGAAGTCATTTGGCGTCAGGATAACATCGGATAGGCTTGTGTTAATCAAATTTTGTGGCTCTCTCATAAAAAATTCATTTTGATCTTCGACTCTCAGTCTGGTTAGCGGCTTGCTAAAAACTGAGTCATATTGGGACTTGAGTAGCTCACTCATTTCCTTGCTGTCATCTGTGTAGGACCCATCTTGTTTAAGTAGGGGCCCAATACTGGACGTTGTTCTCGATTTTGATTTGGCATAGGAGAAGAAATACTTTGGGTTTCTTTCGATTTCATTTATGGCTTTTAGTTCTTCCCGCGATTCCTGACTCCTAAAGGATTCTTTTAGCTTAAGTTCGATGCTTGCTATTTCTCTGACCAGTGTCTCCCTACGCATTTCAGATATATTGACCTCTTTTAGCCGCTCTGTTATTCTTTTCCGTCGCCTGTAAAGGGAGCGCCTGTCTCTTTCTTGTTTACATCTACTCCTCCTTTTTCTTAGAGGAATAAGCCTTGTGCATACATCGAGTGCCACCGAGTTAATCTGTTCTAGGCATAAGTTGGGGTCTGTGTTGCTTAGTATATCTTCCCAGCTTATATCGGTTAGGACTTGGTTTACTTGGTCCCACTTTATGTTTTTGTTATTGAAGTTGAATTTGGTGAATGCTCCCTCGTGACTAATCTCATTATGGCGGTCTGGGGCTCCGCGCATACATGACTGAACCTCAATTATGTTGTGATCTGAGTATATTGTTTTTGATATGGTGATATTTCTTATCAGATCATCATTGTTAGTGAAGATGAGGTCTAGTGTATTCTCCAGTCTAGTAGGCTCTATTATTTGCTGGTTTAAATTGAATTTTGTGCAGAGATTTAAAAGCTCGCGTGAGTGTGAGTTTTCATCAGAGCTGCCTCCTGGTGTTATTACTGCAACAATATTATTTGCTATATTCCTCCATTTTAGGTGCCTTAAGTTGAAATCCCCCAGGAGCAAGATGTTGGGTGCAGGAGCTGGAAGGTTTTCCAGACAGTGGTCAATTTTTAACAGCTGTTCCTGGAATTGCTGGGATGTTGCATCCGGAGGCTTGTAGACTATCACAATGACTAGGTTTTGGTTCTCGACCTTTACTGCTAAAACTTCCACTACATCATTTGAGGCATTTAGCAGTTCTGTGCAAACAAGTGACTCTGCAATGTACAGGCCAAACCCCCCCCCTTTTGCCTGTTCACTCTGTCACATCTGTATAGGTTGTAACCTGGGATCCATATTTCGTTGTCCAAGTGATCCTTTATGTGGGTCTCAGTGAAAGCCGCGAACATTGCCTTTGCCTCTGCAAGCAGTCCACGGATGAAAGGTATTTTGTTGTTTGTTGCTGGCTTTAGACCCTGTATATTTGCAAAGAAGAATGTTATCGGACTGGTGGTATTGTTGGTACTGGGGGGGGATTTTTTTTCCGGCATTAGTATCTGTATCTGTTGGTTTGGAGTGGAGGCCATCGACTGTGGTTCCACTCCAGGAATGACTGGATTTGGTGTACGATTTCTGCCATTTCCTGCCAGTTTTTTTTCCTTCCTGGCACTAAAAAACCTCTCCCTCTTGAGTGGCTGTGGCTACCCAGGTTTTCCCATGGCCTGGATGTTTTGTATCTTTTTGTCCCCTTTAGATGGTATGCCTGGCAATTTAAGTTATAGCACAGTCTTTCCTGTACTGAAGAGGTACACAGTTTCAGGGTGAAAAAGCTTACAGGAAGGGAGTTTGCATTTTCCTGTTGTCATATGGGCATGGCATTT